GTTCCTTCTTGATTCTTGGGAGGAGTCATCTAGGGTTTCCCACACTCTGCTCACTCATGGCCACAGTACCCTTCAGACACTGTCTCCTCTGTGTGAGCCAAGACCCAGATTTAGATTCCTGGTGTCTGATGCTGCACATTTTGGGGGAGGTCTGGTTTAGGAATAAGGAACTGTGGAGTTGAGTGGTCTTGATGCTAAGCTTCATTATTGTTGAATGCTGTTGAGACGGTTCTGACTCATAGACACCGTGTTCAAAACAGGGTTGAACAAACACTGTTCGGACCCACTTCTGCTGGGTGGATTCTTTCTGCATAGAGAAGTGAGGAAAACCATCCCAAAATCTAAATTTCTCCAGTAATAAAAGAAATCTTTGACAATTTTCATCTTTTCTCAGTTTATCAAGATAGAATCCATTGGACAAGTGGTGAGGATTTGGGCTTTTGTTACACTGCATTGTAATCCATACTGAGGGCTGAAGTCCTCTAGCTGCATCAGTAATTGCTTCAAATCTTCCTTGCTTTCAGTACCATTGGTTCTTGCTTATTTGCTATATCTTGAAATGCTTTAATGTTGCCTAGTTCTTTTCAATATAGGGACTCGATATATTCTCTCCATCATCTTTTGATGTTCCCTTGCATCATTCGATAATTCGGTCCTTCAATATTTCAGCTCAGGCCTTGAATTTTTTTCTTCAGGTCCTTCGGGTTGGGATAGACTTCGCGTATTCTCCCTTTTGGTAATCTAACTGCAGGTCTTTGCAAATTTCATTAATACTTTGTCTTCTTGAGCTGCACACGGAAATTTTCAATTCAGCTTTTTGACTTGATCATTTCTTCCATTTGCTTTAGTTGCTCTCCAACTTTAAGCAAGTTTCTGAGACTCTTCTAACATCCACTTTTCTTTTCTTTCTTTACTGTGGCTTTTATTTCTTTAATATCTTTGAAATGAATTTGTATGTCGCTAAAGCCTCCAAGTCCTCTTCCATTTTACTTGTCCTCCTTTTTTAAAAATTTATTTTTATCATTTGATTAGGGGCTCATACAACTCTTATCATAATCCATACATACATCAATTGTGTCAAACACGTTTGTACATATGTTGCCATCGTCATTCTCAAAACACCTGCTTTCTACTTGAGGCCTTGGTACAGCTCCTCATTTTTCCCCCTCCTTCCGCTCCTCCTACCCCCTGAACCCTTGATAACTTATAAATTTTTATTAGTTTATCCTCCTTTTTTAGACACTAAGACAATATTTAGATCTGAGGGTAAGGAATCTGGAGGGTTCTTTCCTGTGTTTTTAGGGACCTTTTGCTTTCTTCATGAATGATGTGATCAATGTCCTGCCACCGCTCATTAGGTCTGCCATCATTAGTGTTCAATATTTCAAATCAGTTCCTGAGATTTTTCTCAAAATTCAGATGAGCTATTAAGGCTGTATTTTGGCGCTCATGGACTTATTTTTCTTCAGTGTTTCGTTTTTCTTCAACTTCAGCTGACATATGAGCAATTGATTCTTAGAAAACCCTTTGGAGCCATTCTACTCCATCACATGGGGTCACTATGAATTGAAATTGATATCAACCAATAGCAATCATGGTGCATACACTTTCAACAGAACTTGAGTGATGTTTTTAATTAGTCTTTTGCAATCAAAACAGCCTGTCTTTCTTTAACTTTCCCTGCCAGTTTTTGGTTGTTGTTTCTTGCTGGGTCATCTATCCAAGTAGGACCCAGGATGATGATTTTTAGACACCAACACAGATCTGGAAATTGATTCATTTCTTCCTTGTGTTAAATTATTTTTGGAGTCCCTGAGTGGTACAAGAGGAGCACTGGTTGCATAGTGGATTACGTGTTGGACTGCTAACCACAAGGTTAGTAGTTCATGTCCACTAACAACTCCGTGGGAGAAAGGTGAGCCTTTCTGCTTCTCTAAATATTCACAGAGGCAGTTCCACTGTACCCTATAGGGTCACTGTGAGTTGGAATCTACTCAATGGCAGTGAGTTCGGTTATTGTGATGGCGGTGGTGCAAATGGGTAAGAGCACAACTACTAATAGGAATCCACTACTACTACTCCTACTCAACTACTAATAGGAATCCACTACTAATCAACTACTAGGAATCAACTACTAATAGGAATCCACCCAACAATGCCTTGGAAGAAAAGTCTGGTGATCATCTTCCAAAAATTACAATTATTGAAAATTCTATAGGGAATCAATCTATTCTGAAACACTTGGTGTTGCCAAGGAAGAATCAAATCTACTGGTGTGTGTGTGTGTGTGTGTGTGTGTGTGTGTGTGTGTGTGTGTTTAATTGTTGTTAGATTCTTCAGGAACCAGCCACACAATGTTAGAGAGTACCAGGATGAGAAATGGATTTTAGCAAAACTATAAGTTCTTCATATTTCCTCAGAAGCTAGGAGGTGCTCTCCTGTCCTCCTACTCAGGATTCTCAGATATTTGCACATCCATGTCATTGTAAAAAGGTGAGCCACCTGGTGGACATTTTACAGATGAGAAGCTGAGGCAGCGTGCAGGCCTTCCAGGCTGGCTCCGAGTCCTGTCTATAAGTAGTGAAGCAGCACCCTAACCTAGACTGCGCAAGACTAAAATGTGAGACCAGTCAGAGGGGAGTGTGCAACTTGAATGACATGGATCTTTCTGTTTTTCCTTCTAGTGGTTCCTGACTAAACAGAAGCATGGTTTTGGGAAACAAGCCAAGGCCAGAGCCTGATGGTGGCCAAATCTGCCACTAACAAATCTCTGAAACAAATGTCCTCTTTGTACCTTCTAGTGGTTCATCTTCTCAGCAAAGGGTGAGTTCTTGGCTTTCTTATAATAATAACATCAATGATCTTGAATTTCCAAGAACAAAATAGAGAAGTGGGCAAAGGTGAAAGAATTAGACAGGAGATTCAAACAGTAACAAGAAAAAATAAATACCAACTATCCCTAGAGGAGAGGAGTTCTGGTGACATTAACCTAAAAGTAGGCAGTTCAAACCTACCCATTGGTTTTGTGTATGAAAAGGCTTGGCAATGTGCTTCCATGCTTACAGTTGGGAAACCCCTGTGGAGCAGTTCTTTCCTGGAACACATGGGGTCACTGTGAGCTGCAGTTGACTCAGCACCTCACAGCATCTGCTAGCAGAGACACAATTCCAAGGTAGGTGTGTAAATCAGAAATGCCTCCCACTTCCTTCTGAGAGCCGCACAAAGTGATCAATTAGAAATGGAGAAGAACTGTAAGTGGTCTAGACATTTAGAACAAGGGGCTTCTCTACCTGGACTCCATCATGAAGTCACCGAAAGACCAGGGCAGCTGGACCAATGAGGGTAATGACCGAGGGATCCAGCCCTTGTCTTCTATTACGCACAAGACATTTGAGACTCCTATAGGATA